TATAGTGTTGCTGGACATTTTGAAAAATCACGTGATTTATTTGTTGATCCAGATAAACTTCAAATTGTATTAAAAGAATTATGTCATTGTTTAAATTATACACATTTAAAATATTTATGTACATGCATATGTAAAGCAGCAATGTCTTTATGTAATGCTGATGTACGTTTACGAGATTTATTACATCGTCATGGTTTATTTGTTTATGCTTGTCGTGGTTTATTTAATTATGATTATACATTAGATGTAAGTACATAATAATCTATTTTAGTAGTTTTAATTTCAATCACATGATAAGAATATATGTAGTAGTTTTTGGCACGAGGGAAATAGCATAACGAATCAACAACATTAAGTTTAGATTAACCCTTTGATTACGGATCACCCATATATGGTATTTGAAGTTTTGCAGATATTACTGTCATTACAATATCATTTAGGCTCGATCGAAAAGGATCCTTTCTTTGACGGTGTAAGTGTGGGTGTGAGTTAGTTGAATAAGATACACCCCCACTCATTTTTAAATGCTTCTGTATATTAATAAAAGTTATTTCAAACTGTTTTAGAACGAAAAAAAAACTCCATAACCAAAGGGTTAAGTAGAACAGACTCGAGGCGTCAATAATATTATTAAACTAGAAGCTGAAAGAGTCACACAAAAGGTTTAACTCTGATAAATTTAAGTTTCTCTTGACTATTTTATTTACACCCTATGTAGATGATATAAGTCAATACTGTCTTAGAGTTAAAGTGTGACAATTTATGAATATAGCTCATAATCAATGATAAAAAAGGTCAGAAGAAACAGTTCGTAGTTTCATTCCAGTGGGTGGGCGTTGAATAAACGCCGCCCACCCTAAATTCCGATTTGCCCATCAGAAAAACGAAAAGTAGATAAAACACTGTTTCATTCTCAATTTCTCATTGTAATGACATATATTTGAATCATAATTTAGGAAAGTGGTATTGCTGATGCAAGTAATAAACAATATGTTGATAATCAATTAGCTTATGATTATTTACAAACTCTTGCTTCCATTATACCAAATAATCCACCGGCTTTAATGGCTGCTCAAACATTTTTAACACCATATATTGTATCACAATTACCTGATCGTGCTGTACTTAAATTACTTAATTCAAATCAAGAACAACCATATTTAGTTTGGGATAATTCATGTCGACAAGAATTGATGGATAAATTAGATGAAACACGCGATTATTTAGTTAAAAATGATTATCAATTAGATGTTGATAAATTTGGTAATCCATCAGATTTTCGTTTTTCAGCACATAAAAATGAATTAATTGTTGGTGAAATTTTTGTACGTGTTTATAATTTACAACCTACAACTACTTTAAAAAATCCAAAAGAATTTTGCTCAAATTTAATCGACTTCTTAGGAACAAGCTCACAATACATTAATACACTTATGTCTATGCAATTACAACAAGAACAACAACAAAAAACGAGTGTAAGTCTATATTGAAATCTAGATGAATATATTTTCTATTGAAATAATTAATTTTATTATCTAGGAAGAGAAAAAATCTGCTGAAATTCTTCATCTTGAAAAACAAGAACATATATCACAAGCTTTAGAAGCCTTAAAAAATGTTATACGTAATAATATTGGCATCGAAACATTATGTATTGGTCATTTTAAATTATTATTTTCTTTATTACGTATGGAAAATGTTGGACGTTTACAACAATATGCATTAGAATTAATACTTCATTTAAGTGGTTCAAATGAATGTGTTAATGATATATCACAATCAAATGTTATTGTTTATTTATTACTTGTCTTACGTTCATCATTATCAAATCAAGAAACAACATTAGAAATTTTAAATGCATTATCATCCAATGGTAAAATTGTTCGTGATATTGTCGATAGCGGTGGTCTACTTTATCTACTTGATATATTTTCTAATGGACAAAATTCTAATTTACGTGAATATGCAGCAAATGTTTTATCTAAATTAATGAATGATCGTTTACATGGTCCACGTATACGTTTACAATTAATTAAATATTTACCTAATTTAGTTATTGATGCTATGCGTGAATCATGTGAAACATCAATACAATTATTTGAAACAACACATGAAAATCCTGAATTAATATGGAATGATCATACACGTGAAATGACATGTGAACGTATCAGTAAACAATTAAATGAATTTTATGTTAAACAACGAGTAGCACCAACAGAAACAAAATGGGCAATTGATGATTCATATCAATTATTAGGTGATGATGAAGAAACACAACGACTTTCACAAAATGAATTAATAGTTGCCGGAGTATATGTTCGTTTATTAATTGCTAATCCTGGTTGGGTTGTACGACGACCAAAAGAATTTCTTACAGAATTACTTAGTCGATGGACAACACATACAAAGTAATTATGATAGATAACTTCACATATATTCTATTTAAGTACTGCATTTCTGAAATTATTTTGACCAAAAGATCAGTTTATTTCCCTTAAAAAATGCGGTTCATATCTGAGATAGTCATAGTTATTGATAGGTTTAATAATATCCTTCAATGAAATTAAGACTAGCGCTGGAATTGAGATAATATTTTTCTTCTTAGACAACCTGAACAACTTCTTAATTCACATACAGATGAATTTGAAATGTTAACACAATGTTTAATTCAATTATTACATGCGCAACCAACATTATGTGAACATTTACCATCGATTGGATTTTTACCATCTATTGTTCAAGCATTAGAATGTAAAACAAATGATGCTATTGTTGCATCAGCTATTAAAGTTCTTTTTGCATTATGTAAATCCGATGTTTGTTTACAAACATTTTCAACGAAATGTCCACAAATCATTAGTGGATTTAAACAAGCTATGCAAACAAGACGTGATCATCTTGGTATGAAGATAAATTTTCTTTTTAACTATTTGATAAGATATTAAAACTTTTATTCATTTTTATTTTTTTAAGGACTTATTTCTGAATGTTTGCATGACTTATTTCGTACTCCAGCACCGGGTACACCTGATGAATTCATTAAAGAAGCATTACGTTGTCAATTAATTGAGCACATTTTAACATTACTTGATCAACCATTAGCTGATGTTGAAAAACCAGGTTCATGTAAAGCACATCTTGTTGATTCATGTAAATTAATGGCTGATTCATTAGTTTATGGTGAACAAGTATCGCGTATACTTCAATCATCAACTGTATGGAATGATTATAAAGATCAACGACATGATTTATTTATTCAAACATCATCGCATATGCAAGCATTAACAGGCGGTTCAGCTGGACCACAAATAGCAGGCTATTTAACATCGTCAGCATCAACAACAACAGCTGGAAAACAAAACATGACTATTCCACCACCTTTAACTGATAACTAAAAAATTAAAAATGAGATTTTTCTTTCTTTCTTGAAATTTAGCTTAATTTTCTTTTTCTGTGATAGATTTTTATTGCAATGTAGATTGATTTATTTATTCCTATCTTATATGTATGTACTCACTGATACTATTCATTCATTTATTTATAATTCTTTTATTAACATACATCTTATCGTTATACAAAAACAAATCTTTTTTTCTATGTTGTTCTGAAAAACTCAACCGGTAATTCTATTATCTTTCTATTTATATTTGTGTGTGCGTGTGTTTGTGCTTGATTCTTCATTTTCTTTTTCTTCCTTTGTCAAAAACCATACGTCAAAAACGTGAAGAATGGTAAATTATAAAATATAATCCTTGTATTTGTTTCTATCATATCGTTTATAACGTAGTTGAATGAATTTATTATAATAATCTACTATCGTTTTCATAATCGAGAAATGGAAAAGTTACAAAAAAAACACTGTTGGTTTTAATAAAGCTTTTTTTCATTATAATCAGCTGTACTAAATAGAATATAAATTTATCCATTTGAATGAGTCGCTAGAGCTTTGTCAATATGACTTTTACTAATTCGACAATGATAAAAATTCATTATACTTTCGTTAAGATACTTGTCATACTTTTCCTAATTGACGAGTATTCGTGACACATTCATTCGTTTAACTGTATTGCACTCATAAAACAATAATGTTTCTTTTAAAATATAAGATCAGACTGCAAATAGTTTTGAGAAATGTCCATCGAATTCCAAGAGCATAGGAAATCTTTTATCAGCATGTTATATAAATAGTCATCGTTTTCTATATGAAGTTTGTCTATTTGATGTTTTCAAATAGAATATATACACATTCATACATAACGGACATAACAGTAGTGTACCAATTATTATGTTTGTTATATGTAAATGTATACATATTCTATTTGAAAACGCAAAATAGACAAGCTTCAGATAGAATACGGAGACTATTTATATAACAAGATAATAAAAGGCTGAACAAAATAAATCAAAAGGATTTCATATGCTCTTGGAAAAACAAATGGAATATTAATCCTGAAAAGAAAGAACGAAAACACTTTGAAAAATACCTCATAGAATGAATAAATCTAATATTCATTAGACAAATATAAAAATATTTTTGTTTTGCTCATCAGCATTAGCGACTAGTATATATTATATGTTTCTTGAGCAATTCCGATAGTAACTGTTCGATAGTGATGTATTCCTCTTTTTTGCTCTTAGTGTTTTCCCTCGTAATGTATCATGTCTCTTTCCTTTGGTTACACATATTGATTTTTCATTTTTGCTTATCGAGATTTTGCAGACAATGTTTTTTCCTCACTCATCGTCACCTGTGGAAGATTCCATATATGAATCGTTTGTCTCTGCTCACTACCACCTATATAAACTAACTAAATGCAATACACGGGATCGATTGTAAGAGCTGAGATAATCTACAAGTAGCACTTGTGCTCATTATAGTTCGTAAAAATCTATTGAGACTTGATCTTTATGATTACTTTCGATCCGATAAGTGAATGCTTTTATTATTGATAATACTACAGAAAATTTATTTGTTTAACTCTAATACTTTATAGATCATCATGGAAGTGATCATATCACAAGCAGATGTAGTTTCAAAAAAAGCAAAATTTGCTTATAGTGTTGGTCATGTTCTAAATGACCTTTGTGCATCTATGTGGTTCTCCTATTTAATTGTATTTTATCATCGTGTTGTAAATTTTTCAAATGCATCTGCTGGTTATTTACTTTTAATTGGTCAAATTGCTGATGCTATATCAACAACATTTGTTGGTTTTGAATCTGATCGTACACGTACTGGTTTATTTAATTATGGAAGACGAAAAACTTGGCATCTTATGGGTGTTATTTGTGTACTTTTATCATTTCCATTTTGTTTTAATTTATGTGTTAAATGTGAACATAGTGATTTATGGGCACAATTTATTTATTATACAATGTTTATTATTATTTTTCAATTTGGTTGGTCATGTTCACAAATTACACATTTGTACGTATTCTAGAATTTATTAAAAAATAAAATAAACTTTCTATTATTAGAGCAATGATTAATGAATTAACACATAAAGATGATGAACGTGTTGCTCTTAATTCATATCGTTATGCTTGGACAGTTATATCAAATATATTTGTTTATGCAATTGCTAGTATTTTATTAGGTTTTCATTCCACTACCGATGAAACAGATATAACATCTGCTGATGCATATATATTTCGTACATTAACATTTATTGTTATTATTGTTGGTGCTATTTGTATGCTTATATTTCATATTGGTTTACATGAATCTACACAACCAGCAGAAGATAGTGAACAACGTTTACAATTATCATTAACATCTAGCGGAAGATTAAAACGAATGACATGGAGAAGATTTTTACGTGAAAAAGAATTTTATCAATGTGCATTTATTTGGATGTGTGCAAGAGTTATTCTTAATGTTACACAGGTGAGAATTCATTAGAAGAAACAATCGATTTCTTACAAAAAAAGTTTTTTCTATTTTAGGTTTTTCTACCTTTGTATATAATTGATACAATCTCAACAATAAATCGTGTATTTGTTGCTATTGCTCCATTATGTTCTTATGTTAGTGGTTTACTTGCTTCATTTCCTATGCGTGCAATAAATAAACGATTAGGTCGAAAAGCAACTATAATACTTGGTTTATTTTTTACATTATCTAGTACAGTTCTATTCTGGTTTATTAGTGATCTGAAAGATAATCTACATATTAAAATCGCATTAATATCAGCTTGTATTTTACTTGGTATTGGTACATCAACAACAAATATTTGTTCATTTTCATTAACATCTGATTTAATTGGTTTAAATACAGAATGTGGTGCATTCGTCTATGGAATAATGTCATTTACAGATAAACTTGCTAATGGTATAGTTATTGCTATTATCCAACAATTTAATCCATGTACATTAGCTTCAACAACTATATGTGCATCATATTATAGATATATATTAACATTTATACCAATTGGTGTTGCAATTTTAACAATTCTAATGACATTAACATTGTGGAAAACAAATATAGGTGGAAATCGTCATGAATTGGAAGATGATGAACAAAATAATATCGATACAACAAATGAAAATGAACATGATGAACGGACACCATTAATAACTTGAAATAGATCTTTTTTTCTCTCATCAGATTGATCAAATATGTTATTTAATTCTATTCTTTTTCTAAATCAAGCATGAAAATTTTTATTTATATTTCTGTTTTGTATTATCAATATAAACATTCCAATTTATCTCATATAACAAAAATAAATTCGGTGATTATTGCACAATCTCCCTCATAGAGAATTGAAAGAAATATCTGTTTAACCCTTTCAGGACCGTGGTACAACAAATGTACCACCTACCCTGGAGGGGGTTCCAGGCCAGTGGCGTACACAGAAATTTTTCAAGAGATGGGCCCAACTTTTTAAGGGGTGCGCCCACCATAGTAAAAAAAACTTTTTGGCTCACAATTTTTTTTCCCTATACTCCCCTCCAGTACTTTTTTCTCTCAAGGGGTGGGCCCGGGCCCACTCGGCCCACCTCCTGCGTACGCCACTGGTCCAGGCTTTTTAAAAACAATTTTTTTTCTTAGTCGCGATCAAAAAGATAGTTTAAGAATAATATACTGATCGTGAAAGCAAAACTAGTCCTGAAAGGATTAACTACTATTTACAAAACATAGTATTATTTCTAGGTAATCCATTGTAAATAATTTCATAGGATTCTTAACATATCAATAATATTTTTTACAAAATAAACAAACAAAATATTATTATGATTTTTCAACAACGAAAATATATCTCTTCAAATCTGATCAACACTTTACAGCGCAAACAACTTGAAATAATGTACTTTTTATTTACATTGAAGCCATAGGAAATTTTATTCAATATTTTTTAATTTTATTAAAATAATGAAAAAAAAATGATTATATTTATTTATGCATTTTAATGAATGATAAACTCTTTCGAAAATAAATTGAATTCTTGAAGGTGTTAATCTTATTTTCCAAAATAAATAAGAATATAAGGTTCACCGAGAAAATATAAACAGTAAAAAAGAATAATTAAACGATACAAAATTTTCAGAGTTTGCTTTGTTTTCTCTCTCTCGTGTTGTTTTTATTATGATGTCGGTTGTGGTGATAAACCAAGCCATATTTGTTGCTGACTTGCTCGTTGTATTTCTTGTTGTTTTTTAATTTGTTTAAATATTAAATCAATTTCGCCATCAGTTTTTAAATTTAATTCTTTTCGTTGTAATGGACTTGTATAGGGACTCACATAACCAACAACAACTTTATAAATTTTACTTCCACGTTTAACTTCATATGTAGGAATAGTTGTACTTGTTCGGGGTCTTATCAATCTAGGTTTATCTGGTTTTTGTTGTTGTGGTTGTAATAATTGAACTTTCTCTTCGTCGAGTGAAGATGATTTGAAAATTGAGGATACATCTGTATTCGTTTGAGAGATATGAATACGATTTTGTGAGGGCGGTCGATGAATAATTTCAAAACGACTGATTGATGTATTTGTAGAAGTAAGATCTGAGGCTGAAGGTGGACGAGTATAGAATTGAGATTGAGAACTAGCCATACGTCTTCGTAAATCAAATCGACTTGGGGATGATGGTGGGCGATCAGTCATTTTCAATGGAACAGGACGATGTTCAGAATATATAGTATCATCTTGACCTAATGGAATGAAAAATAGATTTTCATTTATCTTATAGATTTCTTTTTATAACATACTTTTATTTGTTTGATACAATGCTGCCTGTTGACTTTTACGAAATTCAGCTGGTATTAAACTTTGTTTTTGTTCTGGATCACCACGTATTTGTTTTTTTAATAATTCTTTTGTTTCTTCTAATGTTAGACCACCTCCATTGTTTTCCTTATTCGATGCAATTGTGACTCCTTTTTTTTTCTCGTCTATTGATTCTTGCGTTGATACGGTTGATAGTTTTGATGATGCTGATGTTTGTCGTTGTCTAACACTTATATGTTTACGTTTATTCATTGACGCAGATAATATTGATGATGTAGAAGTTTCTGTTATTGGTGGTTTATCTTCTTCAAGTGTATAATCATAATTAACTGGTTCAAAATTCATTAACAATAAGCTACTTTTTGTATTTACAAGAAGTCTATATTAAATACAATGATATTTATAAACAAGAGAAATACAAAATAAGATAACCTGTTTAGTGTTACAACTAGACCAGTGACAGGATCAGAAACACTGTTACCACGCATAACACGTAAACAAGTTCCACTCAATGCATTCCAAATACGTATTTTTCCATCTGCACAGCCCGTTATTACTCGAAGATAAAGAAATTCAAGACATAGAACTTCTCTAAATACATATATAAGCATAATAATTATTGAAATAAATTTCGATTAAATTTTATTTATTACTTTGGATGACGAAGTGCAGTTAAAGGTTTATCGAATGTTCCTTGTGTTGACCATACATTAGCATAATAATCACGGGATGATGATGCTATATGCCATTTATCAAATTTAACACCTGTAATTGCTAATCGATGTTTAACACACTACAAAAAAAAGCTCTAGAATTATTTTCTATCTTATTCAAATTACTTTAATAAATTTTCCAGTTAAATTATGCCAAACTTTAATTTTTCCTTGTATATCACCTGACACTGTAAAATCATCATTAATCGCAACTGCTGATACTGGATGTTTATGCTTAAATGTTCTCCATGGTCGATGTCGTTTATATCTCCATACTAAATTTTATATTTAAATCAATGATAATATATATATTGAAATTCTTACCCAAACAAAGATTATCATTTCCACCCGCAGCAATTAAATCAAGAAAAACAGCTAAACAAGTAACTGTACGTTCATGTCCATGATATAATTTCATACAACGACCTGTTTCTAAACTCCAACATCGAACAGTTAAATCATAACTACCCTAATTAAAATATAAAACTAAGAAAATTTTATAACAAAAGAAAATAAAATCTACCGTAAAAATACGTTTTTTATCTTCTTGTACAACAATACAATGAACAGATGCAGCATGTCCCACTAAAATCATCGGTTTATCTTGTGCTGATTGCATATCAATAAATCGAACTCGACTATCACGTGATGCTATAGCAACAAGACTTTCACCACTCATATGTGCAGGACGATGACGTTCTGAACTAGATTTATTAGAATAAATAAATAAAATGTAATTTATTAATCTATACAAAATTATTTATAATTAAATCAAGCGCATATATAAAAGTGATGGGCAGCACAATATCAATTTTGAAAAAGAATTAAGTATAAGCATATATAATCAATTTAGAAATTTAATTCACTTACAAAACTAGTTTTTTTTAATAAATTGTCATAATTAGAAAACTAGAATGGATTGAAATAGTTAAGTAAGATCTAAGTTCTTATACAAATATATATTAAAGGATCGATTATTTCAAGTTCATTGACCTTTGTATGTCACAAATACTTTTAAAAATTTTCATTTCTCCTTGGATCTCCATTAGTTATATAATGCATGAATATCGCCTATAAACTTAACCTAATTTTATTGTTCCTATAGTGATGATATCCAAATTTCCTCTAAGAAAATTAACTTACTCATCTTTAAGTAAAAGTACATTATATGGACCACAATAGATATTTCGTTCTTCCATTAAAACTAAACGAGTCGGAGTTTTAGTTGATTGATAAAGTTTATTCCAAGCTGATATATTTTTATCATTCGGTAATTTTTTTCTTGTTGATAAATGTTCATTTGTATTAGTACGATATAAATCAGGAACAGGTACAAGTGTATCACGTGCAAAACATGGATTACATTGTAAAGCAGCAGAACTCTAAATATATATAATATTAGAAAAAAACGGAATCATTTTGTTTTCTCGGAATGTCATAGAAAATTTACCTGTAAAAGCATAACATCATCGTAACGTAATTTAGTCATTGTTGCATCATCATTGACTTCTAAAACCATTTTTTTCCAATAGGGTGAAACAAGTTTACATTTTTCAAGTGATTGTATATCGAGCATATTTAAAATTGATTTTGCGACATAAACTGGTAATTGCCGAATAAAATCTTTATATTGAGGTATACGTTTTGTTGACATCGGACGTTCAGTATCGGAATCATTATTATTTAAAACTGATAGAGCAAATGAAACAGCACTTTTTCGATGCATTGATGGTGAACCTGTTGTTTTAGGACGTTTAAGAATAGGAGCTGAATGTGGTACTGATGTTAACATTGAAGGTGCACTAATGAATACAGATGAAAGTCGTGAACGATTATTATTATTTGTTTCAGTTCGAAAATCTTCATCATCCGCTGCAAAAAATTATTTTTTTCTTTTTAATTAAAAATTTTTCTAATAAAAAAAAATATTTAACTTACAATCCATATTTTGTACTGAAAAAACATTGACTGCTACTGTAAACATGAGTTGACTATCACACCATTGCAATATACTTAAAATAAATGAACCTTGAGAATATTTATCTTCATAATTAAACCATAATATAAGTTTTGCAGCTTCTTCTTGTCTTTTTATTGGATCAATATCATCCATTTTCTTTATATTACCAGTTGTTGGTCGTGGAGCTCTGTCAACTTTATTTCGTGTGTATGTATAATCTATACATAGAATAAAATGATAATTTCTAAATGAAAACAAAAACAATAAGAATACCTTTTGCATTTACAAATGGTCTTAGAATTTGTGCTAAATGATCGATTATATCAGGTTTAAGATGATTAATTAAAGCAAGAAGAAAGCGTCGTTTCATAAGATCACCTGCTTGTAACCACCAGTCTTTAGCTTCTTGAATGCGAGCACTAACTAGACATGCTTTACATCGACCACATTGATTATATGGTTGATCTGCTGAACGACATGTTGTGATAAATGCATCACGAAATGATGTTAAACCATGACGTAATACAATATGAATATAGTCTTGATCAGTATTATCTTCATCGGAAGTATTTTGGATTTCCATGTCTAATTAGACTCAAATCTTAAGACAATGAAAATAACATACAAATTTACCATTTTTATGTTCCTTAAATGTGATTACCATAGTTTTATTGTGCATTGACTACCATTAGATGGCGATAGAAATCAGTTGAGAATGATTTTATGTTTGCTTATTTAATATTTATTTTGCAAAAAAAAATACTAACATCGGATACCTTTGAAGAGTAAATAACTTTATATGTCATTAGCAAACAATATTTTGTCTTTTTTCTTGAGCATAAATCAAATATCAAATACAGACAAGAAGTAGAAAATAGATTATTATTGAAAACAAAGATCAGATAGTTTTGAATCATGATTTGAACAGGCCATAGCTAATTAAACTAAATACAATCTTGTAAGATCTCAAAATTCACTCATGAAATTGACTTTTTTCAATTAAAGCAATACTTGAATTTCTAAAATGAGATTACAAGCTAAAATTAATTCATTCGAAATAATAGCATTGAGATCTATTCTTAGGTTAATCTACATCATAAATTCTGAAATAGAATACGAAGTATCGTCTACATTTTTATCGGAACTTTGCTTTTCATTGATAAATAAGATATAAGACTGATGTATACGTCACTAGTTATTACTTTAATTAAAAAGTAGAAGGACATAATAAACGAATGTTTTTCTGGCCATTTTACTATAATGATCAATGAAATGAGCTCTATAAGATCTGATATGAAAAATAATAAGAGATTTACTTATTATGGATCATTCGTCAGTACACTTTCATTCGATCATAGTTTATTTTTAAACTAATTAATAAAATACAGAAAAAAAACTTAAATATTTCCTTTGTCCATTAATCTATTCTACAGTGGGTGGTTTTCTTGGTGCAGATAACTCATGAATTTTCGATGACGCTCGATAGTTTAATGCACCACGTGATACAGGTCGTGGAGAAGGATGTTCAAATCGATGTTCTTTTTGTAATTTGATTGGTTGAGCTAATTCACTAACACGTGATGAACATTCTGCATTTGATGCTGCTCGAGTTACGCCAGAATATGTTGGGTTAAGGTAATAACGAGAAAAACCTAGAATTTATTTTTCGATTTATTAGAAAATTAATTAGAAAATCTATGAAATTATACCATCTCGAACAGTAGTATCTCTACGATATTTTGGCTTTGCTAATGATGCAATTCGTTGTGTTGCTCCATAACTAAGTGCTGTTGATGGTACAGCAGTATATGGTGATCGTTCAAATTCATGATATGATCGTTGATCAGAGCTTTGTGGTCTACTAACTGGTGCCGATGAAGATGTAGGCATGTTTTTCTATTTACCACGGCGGCAACGATCAGCAGACAAAGAATGAATAATAAGCAAAAAAATATAAAAACATGCTTTATATAAGCATATGTTTGATTAACATATTTTTTGTATGAAATGTCAATTGAATGCAAAGAAAAAAAAGACAAACATAACAACTGTAACGAAAACAACAATAGCAGCAGCTGTGGAATCAAAATAAACGTTTTATTCAATATTTTACCTAGTTGAAATTATTTCTTTAGAGTTATAACGTAAAAGACTAAAAAATAATATTTGTGTATAACCGATGTTTATACTTATTAAAATAATGTATATATTATTTGAGATAGACAAATACTTGATAGATCATGTATAAAATAACAAACAGACTCTTTTACCTTAATGGAGAAGATATGAAATCATATTTATTGTTTACTTCTGTTTGTAGTCTTCATTTTATTTTTAGTAATCGACCATTAAAATATTTCAATAGAAGTATGCATTTCATAAGATACGCAACATAATAACTAATAATACTATCTATATTTTGATGTAAATAGTAATCTTATTATTAACTACACAACGAAAAACAATCATAATAAATATTGGATTACGTTCATTATTATCTATAGTATATTTCAAGTTTATAATATGTGAAGTGTCGTTCGAATAAGTTGTTTTTAATATTTAATAATTGAAAAACAGATGCATTTTATGTACTTTTTTCTCGATTGAAAAACTTTTATGCATGAAATTCGAAAAACATGTCACGAGTCTAATAAAATAAGTAATGCGACGCGAACGCCACTATGCCCTCTATTGAAAACTAGCTTTGGTCATCACTATTCGATTTATATGTGTACAAGAAATATGCATGTCAAAATTTATAAATCTACTCAAGCAACTTAAAACTCTTTACTTCTCAGTTCCAACTATTTTTGTAATCGAAAAAAATTATAATAACTAGAAAACGTATACAAAATTGTATGGGTAACAAAAATCTATTTCATCGTTTTCTTCTCCATATTAATACGTTTTGTGTCAGATCATGCCTGAAATAAAGCTCAGCGTCGCTGTATTTTTTTAAGATTCACTTTTCTTGTTTCTAAATACTAAGGTTGACAATGTAAAATCAAAAAAAGTGGAAATAATAACAATAGCAAAATTTACAAAGGAGGGAATAGTAAGAAATCAAATTGATATGATTATGTGGATTAGCAACATCCTATGTAATCTAGCATTTATAGAGGAAGTTTATAAATGTAATAGAGAATATAATCAGTTGATAATGGTGTTCAAAAAAATGAAAATATTGTTATTTCCATATGATAATTTACATTTAGTTTTTATTTTCAAAACAGATAAAATATATTTTAACTCATTAAAACAATAACTTCTGAGCATTAAAATACAAATATATACAATCACTGTGAATGATACATTTTAAGTATCATATATATTTCGATATAAAAAAAAGTTGTAAAAACCACAGTAATTTCTATTGATTTCTTAGTTCTCATATTTTACAAACATACATAAATACATACATACATACTAGACAAAACTTAATGTTAAAATATATATATAGGACTAGAGAAATAAAAGGGTAAAGCTCGACTATGGAATGTACCACAAAAAGAGAAAAAGAAAATAAACTGTTCATAAACAATACCACAATATGTATACACAAGAAATAAAAATTAATCTGTTATTATTGATCGTTCGCGAATTTCTGATCGACATATCGGACATATTTCTAATTTATTTGCACATTGTTCGCAAAATCCTGTATGTTGACAAGGTTTAAGTAATATATTAGCATGTAAATCTGCACATAATATACAATCTTGTTCATCTATTTTGATTAAACGTAATAATTCTAATTTTTTATATTTTGGTAATATAAGTTTATCATTATCGGATAGTTGACCATATTCATTGAATGTTTTAAATGATTTAACTGTTGTCGGTGGATAACGAAATGGTGTTGAACCGAAATTAAACCGACAATGTTGATAAGACATAAAACTTGCAGCAGCAAAATATCCAGTATTTGAAGAATTTGTTGTTGAAGAAAATAATTTACGAAATGGATCAAGTGAACGACCATTTAAAGAAAATATGACTTCACGACGATCGAAATCAATCAAGCAACCTAAAATAATTCATTTTATCTATGTGCTAAACTTTAATTAAGCTAAAATAAAAAAATCTTACCAACAATATCTCCAGGTTTCCAAGAAGGATTTGTATGTGATATAGATTTTGCTCCAAACCATATTAAATTTCGACAACCATCATAGGCAATAGAATATTGATCATCACCAATACCATAACCTTCATGATTCATAAATTTTGATTGTTTAGCTGCCCAACCAATTTGCATCACACCATCAGTAACAATAAGTACTTCATAATACCAAACACCTGAATTAACTTGAAATGTACATCGAACACTTTCGAATGATACGGTATCACTACGAGCTTCAAGACCATCGGGAGCTATTTTTAAATATTCACTAACATCTTTATCATTAAGCATAACATTTATATGATGATGATCAATCGATTCATATGATGGACGACGATAATCAAGAATAAATACATTATCAAGTAACCATTGAGCATAAAAACCTTTTTAAAAAAGAAAAAGACAATGAAATATTTTTATTTTTTGAGAACATACCAATTTGTCGTTTAAGACAATTATTTGATGAAGCCCATGGTTCATAATATTCTAATATATTCATTTTTATTTGTTCATTATTAATTGTTAATGATTGTAATAAGACATGTTTTGATTCTGATGTATGAGAAAATTTTTCAAGTGCTATTAATGCAAATAAAATTATTTTTAATACAGATGAATATTTTGATGTCGTATTTTTTTCATCGAAATCAATAGATTTCAATTGATTATAACTATATATACCAAGATGAATGCGATCAATTAAATATTCAAGTGCAATTGTATCCAAAATTGATGCACTTGTTGGACCGACTAAAGATAAAAGAATTCTTCTTTTTTCGTCATAAAATATATCAAAAACTAACCGAGTTTTTCAGCAAGACAACCAAGTACAACTAATGTATTACGTTCACGATGTAAATTATCATCAAATTTTTTTTGAATTGATATATCAGATGTATTGATTGATTTAATAGGAGATGTAGGACGTTTTAATGCACGAAGACTAGTCAATGACGATATTTTGTTTATCCTGGAGAAAGAAATAGTAACATGAAAATCTAAAATAAAGAAATTACATACTTTTCATGTGTTTGTTGTCCATCAACTGTTTCCAATGTTTGATTACTTATAGCTGGTGTTGTTTCAGTAATATTGGTAGATTGTTCATTATTATTATTATTATTATTATGTATTATTTGATCTGTAGGTGTTTCAATTGCACGATGATCGGATTGTTTACTGCTTTGTTTGATATGTTCATCAATAATTGCTTCAAGAATTTTTATTCTCGATTGATTATTTAAACATATACGTTTTATTAATTGTTGTAATAATTCTTTTGGTGGTAATAAACATTCATCAAGTAATAAAGCAATAACGGTTGCACCTAATGGATCATTCATTGGTACACGTTCAATTAATGCAATTATAACTTCCAACCAACGATCTTCACGATTAGCAATACGTGATAAAACTAACATTGCATGTGGAGGATCTTGATCTGTATCAACAACTGTTCGAATAACTAAGAGTGTTTCATCGATAAGAGAATTTAAATTATACGATGGAAATGTACGTATATGTGAAAAACGAGATGAAAATATATTGCGATGAAATGTACTAGAAGAAGTATTATATGATGAAGACGCGGAATTTAAACTTGTTTGATCTTGAGGTGCTGGATGGGGCTGATGAACACAATTGCTGCAATTACCCATTGAGAATTATCTACAGAGAAAAAAAATGATATAAGATAGCTCAATAGTAAATACACACATAAGACACATAGAAATACACAAACTCATACTCCGAGTCATTTAGTTGCATGTAAAAATGAATAGATGATACCCAAATAGAAAAGAAAAACACTAACGATAGAGGCGACAATACAAAAAGAGGTCATATATATATACGTATAAATTCAAGTTTAAAAAAACAAAGTGAAATAGATGTGCTCACCGGGTAGAGTAAGAAAAAAATACAAATATTAAAGAAAGGACGGTGATAAGGTTATTCTGTTTACAACAATTAATTCTATAAAAAGAAAAAGTTTCCCTGTAGATTGTAAGATAGATTTTTCTTTTGTTTCTGTTCTAATACATATTACTTTGATATGTCAATGGACAACAAAATACAAAAACAAAAAGTATAGCACCGATAATATTAGATATTTATCGTTAATCTGAATTAGTTCCTTGCTCATCTATAATCTGATGTCGATAAGTTGAATTTCGTTGATGATGTCTTGATGATGGATCTGAAAGAGGATCAGCTGAATCTGATCGTACTGATTTTAATGTTGCTGTAGTTGTGGTTACTGTTGGTTCTCGACGTTTAACATTTCTTGATCGAAATATCGTACGTTTAGCTTTAATAGGTGTTTCACCTGGACGAACAAATTGACCTTCAATATGTTTATTCGTTGTATTCAATAATGAAGAACGAGGTGGAATAGGTGGTGGTTGTTCAGATTTATTCTCGATTGCTGTTGTTTGTGGTAGTGGTAAATAAAAATCTGATAATAACAATAATGGAGACGGTTTGTTACTAGTATTAGTATTAATCTTTACACGACGACCAACAGGTGGATTACGTAATTGTATTGAAGCATGTCCTGATGAACGACGTGAAGAAGATGAAATACTGGACGGAGATGATGATTTCATCGAAGATAATGATGAATGTACTAAAATCATGTATTGACAATTAATAACAAAAAAATGTCTAATTTTATAAATGATAAATTTTTTTAATTATATCAATGAAGAATATTAGATTAATTTATTCATTTTTATTTTGCTTACATGCTTGATTTTCATCGTTATTTGCTAATGAATGTAATGCAATATTGTTATTCGATTTTATTATAAAGACAAACATTTTATGCACAAATAAATATTGTTTCTTAAGAAGAAGAAAAAACAGGAATTTTCTGATAAAATTTCATTTGTTTTTACTTACAACTGTTTGAATTAATGCGATACGAAACTGACGAATATGTGAAGCTATTTCATAGATGGGATTTATTTGATAACTTTTACTGAGAAATAAATGCTATATAAACACATACATAAAACGGTTATAATTTTTAAAATTCTTTCTTACTTCATCACGTAGTAATAAACGGCAAAGATCAATAGCAATAATACTTCCAGTTCGACCACAACCAGCGCTTTAAAGAAAAAAATAATTTACAATAACTTTCAACTTTTGTTTCTAATTAACCTGCAATGTACAAGAATTGGTGTATCAGGTGATAGATGTCGATCATCATATAATCTTAGAAGTAACTCAAGTATCGGTGATTCATCATCAGGTACATCATGATCAAGCCAATATAAAAAATGATAGAGTAATATATGTCGTCGATTTTCACCTTGTGATATTATTAATGGTCGAATTTTGTAATATTCACAAGTGAATGCTTTATCACTTGTTTCATCCTGTTACATAAAAAAGAAAATATTTATTCAATCAAAAGCATAAAAAATAGAAAAATATGTTGTTTATACTTTGCTAACACGAAAGCGACCAAATTGAATTGATTTTTCTTCATCTGGCCAATAACGACGAAATTTAAACTAAAAAAAACAAAATATTATCTCAAAAAAAAAAAAGAATTCCCCAATATTTATTCTTACACGTCCAGCTTCTATTTCATTTGCTGTACATATAACAGATGTTATTTGATATTCCCATATCATCTGAAGAAAATCAGTGACGGAATCATCAATAGGTCCTTGAGCCGCAATATATCGACGATTACCATGAAAATCCTTTTATTAAACATAGATAGATATATAATAAATGATACTATTTCAATTTGATTTACTTCAATAAATGATGCATTAATATAATCAGAATCATTTTCATATTCAAGGGTGACTCGATGTTTATCATCTGAAATAAAATATATCAGTCGTTCTTTTTTTGTTTCATTTAAACTTACATGGTAAAACATCTTTATAACGATTTTTTAAACGATTCATAGGTTTTGCACCTTCAATACTAGGACAATTATCTCTCGTATCGGCCATTATTCGTTGTAATTGCTTTAAATACAAAACATAAATCATTATTGATAAAAATCTCTTTTCTTACAGCAAATTGCCGACCGATTTCAGTCGAATCGGTATCACGTGATTGTTCAAATTCATGAATAAGTCGTTCAACTCGATTACAAATACTATCTGTATCAACATTTTTCGTCATCTATCTAGAAAAAAACAGAACAGAAACAGTTTAAGTTATTCTTTTTCAAAATCATTCCTCTCGCATATCATGAGAATATGGATCTATTCCATTTCCATCAATTCCTCCTACACTTCCGTTAGTTATATCTTTTTGTTGTAATTGTTTCGAAAGAGTTTGTATAACTTTGGGTTGAATTAATTCATCAACTTCAAAAACTAATGATATATCATAGATTTGCATTATACTTGTATCATAAATTGGTAAACCAAGACGATTAAGAATTTGTATACAATTACTTAAACGTACAATTGTTTTTCGAACATCAAGACTAACAGATTCAATATTTTTAACATAACCACCTGTATCAACAATATTATTATCAGATGATGATGTTGATGATGGTGGACATATCCATATAGCACCATTACAACCACGTATAACTGATGCACCACATGGTAAACTATGAAAATGACTTTTTGTATGTTTAACAAGTGATGAACGAACATGTATTAAAATTCCTTCACCTAATTTTCCATAACGTAAATTACGTGTTTGAAGTGCTAAAGTACCATCTTGATAGATTTGTTGAACTTCAGCAGTAAATAAATCACCTTCCTGTATAGAAATAAATATCATTTTGATTCTAATTTTATTATTCATCATACTATCTGTTGACAGAAGATTGACATATATTTACCTTTAAATATTGTCTCATATTTCTTTCATCATCTTCCATTCGTCGTCGATTTTCTCCTCCCGGTAAATTAACTGACGCTAATGGTAAATATGCATCTAAACGTGATTGTATGTCAACAACCCAACGAGTTTGATCAACTTTAAGTACACGTCCAATAACAACATGACCAACATCACCTGAATAACGTGTATTTTCAACTGGTTCAACACATAACAATCGATCAACTTTATTCACAACACCAGCAACTGATGCTTTTAAATGAGACTTTGTTGAATCAAGATATGTTCCATGACCTCGCATAAAATTTGATGTATCATGTGTTAAAATTGTACCAGGAACAACAAGTTGCTGTTGAATTGATGGATCAATTGTTGAAGTCGTCATGTAAACAAATATTTTTATGGAATAATCAATGAAATTATATATTCAATCTAGAGGAAATCAAGTCAAATATAACCAAAGAGAATTATACAAACCGGAAAGAAAAGTCACATACTTCGCATTCGCCTTCAAAAAAAAAAGTAAATAAATAAACGTGATTTTTTTTATTGGATAAAAAATATGTACAATCATATTTTTTTCTTATCAATGAATAGTTGTAAAAATATTTTTATATGTTTATAAATCAGGATTGAGAAGAATACTTTCATATTTTAAATAATTATTCAATAGAATATTTAATGAATTGTTTGCCAATGACATCTATGATTGAACTACTTATATAATAGTGTTCTTATATAAAATTTCAATATTACAGGGGTGCACTGAATGTGGGGCGTGACGCCTCCCTCTTTTTGGATTTTACGTTAAAAATAGTAAAAATATGATCTTATACTCAGTATACGCCTCTCTCACATTCCTCCTACTTTCGGCACGTCCGTGTCAATATTTATAAATATAAATTCTAAGGATTAGTACCAACATTTCTTGTTCACAATTTCAGTTATTGTAGTAAGCTTAAAAGCATCTTATTCCTTATTATCATAATATTAACAAATTTATTTTAACGATGATCATAATTAATTGTAACAAAATGAATAGACATCTACTAGAAAAATTTCAGGATTTATAACTACAGACAGTAATACAGAATAATACTATAGTTTACAATCATTTTTTTTTGTTATCATATACAATCATTCTAAATATTTAGTCCTACGGAATACCATAAATCGTTCTCTATTAATATAAACTACATAACTTTCTTTCATATTCGACATAACACTGAACATTTTTTTTTCATAGTATATAATTATAATAAAGAAAAACGAGATTATTCTTATTATTGATAGAGAAAAAAAAAGTTTCTTTATCGACAGTTTAAAAATATATATGTTTATTATACAAGTTTGAATTCAAAAACAAAAAAATGATATAAAAAATGCACGATATGATGATTTAAAAATGTTCTCGCGGTACAACTACATTTGCAATTGGTATTTGCGAACGATTAGTTAATGTTGAACCATGAGCTAGAACAAAAAAAAACAAATTAGAAGTTTTTGTTTTCTTAAAAGAAAATATTTACAAATTGATCGTTTCTTGGTTTGAGTCTTTGTTGGACGATTATTTGTTGTTGAATTAGATGGATCTAAAAACAAATGAATATATATATTAAATTAATGCTATCTGTATATTACCAAGCGGTAAAATATCAGGAGAATCTGAATTTGTACGACGGAAATCATTTGCTCGACCTCGAGATACTGCTGGATCATTGATAGTTACAGTTTTTTTCGGTTTAACACCGGTAATTTCAAGACCATATATACTAGCAACATTTTCTTTCGATACGATCGGTTCACGAGAAACTACTGGACCTAAATTTTAAATAAAAAATTAAATTTTTTCTAATAATGATTCTTACCCATATCTTCCATTAATTCTTTATGATGAAGATTAGCTCTTCGTTGTGCTGCTTTTGCAGCAATAGCTTGAGTTTGTTTTCGAAGTTTAACTTTATTATTAATTGGTATATGTAAATTATCATTTGAAGGTGATATTGTATGAGTTTTATTACGTATTGTTGTATCAGTTTTATTTATTGGTGTATCAACACTTTCCGAACTCATACTAACAAGAGAATTACCTTTTGTTAATTGTTCTTTTGATGATTGTTCAAAATTAAAATGAGAATAAGATATTGGTTTAGTTTTTGTTACTAATAAATCTTGTCCTAAATCATTTGAATTCGATTCATTATTAACACGAGTAAAAAGATCTTGATCAGATAGAGTACGATGTGGAACTACTAATGTTGTTGTTACTGGTTGATTAAGATTACGTCGTGAACCATTCGTTGGTATATGAAAACTAGTGACTGATGTTGATGCACTTGTTAAATCTTCTTCAGCAATTTGAGATAGAAATGGCAAGGATAATTTATTATTTCCACCGGCTATTGAACGTAATGAATAAGCTAGAAGAATATTATAAAAGAATCAAATAAAAGCAAATGAAACTATATATACTTTTAAGATCATGCATAAGTTGACCTTCATCAATATCTCTTGAATATAATTGATAAAGTTCTTCAAGATCAGTTGGAATTATAATTTGATGTTCTTTAAAATAAAATAAAATGACATTGAAATTTCAAACAAAACAATCACTTCAATATATATTATATTAATAGACAAAAGTTGATATACTTCAAAATGTCTCTCATTGTTGTCATTTTAAGTGCATTAAGATATAATTACTTTTTTTTGTTTGTTGTTAAACAAAAAAAATATGTTCTCTTGCCCCCTTAGTTTCTATTTTACCTTGAATAAGTCGTCGTTGTTGATAAATTAATGTATCACATAAACTTCGATGTTGTGACATACGTAATAATTGTAAATCTCGATTTTTAACCATATGTTCACGTGAAAATATTTCAGCTTGTAATTCAATTGTTTTCATTTCATATTCATAATTTTGTGCTAATAATCTTAATAATTCACGTTGTTCAAGACTAGTCATTTTTTTAGTTACTTTCTACGAAAAAAAGAAATATAAAGATTTTTGTTTTTTTGTAAAAAACTTTTACAAACTTCAAATAAACGACGTCCTTCACTTTTAGCAGTTTCAAATTCTTTTACATGAGTTTTACGTTGTTTGTCTAATTTTGAACGTTCTTGCTCGAGTACACGTAATTCAGCGCGTGCTCGTTGAACACTATTGTCTGATATTATGGTATCTGTTGATGTTTCATCGGAAGATTTTTTACCATTTCGTGGACTATTTTCTTTATTTGAATCATAACTAAAGAATAAAAATTGATAATTTTCGAATAACTGTAAGATTCGATTTTATTTTTACTTTTCAATAATGGATTCATTACGTGTACATTCATGTTTAATATCCATAAGACCACTTTCAATTTCTAATAATGCACGTCGAGCATCAATTTGTTTACGATAAACTTGTACAATATTTTCTTTTAATTTAAGACCTTCTTCAACACGAAGACGTTCATTTGTATTCGAATCTATTCGATAAAAACGGAATAATATTTTAATTCAATAATTATCTTTTTCATTGTTTCTAATCAAAATATATCTAGCAGTTAATTTTCTTTCAATTATAATATCAGGAAATTACGATGAAACACATAATGTATTTCATACGTCATTTACTCTTTTATTTTCTAATTATTTTAAATGGTATAGTAATAGACAAAAAAAAACAACTTAACTATATTACTATTTATGTAATTTCAAGAATATATTAAAACATACCACTTAGTCGACTAAATCGAGCTTCATTTGTTGTTGTTAAACGCATTTCAAGATCATCTCTTTGTTCGCGTAATAATTGAGCTTGATTACGTAGATCTTTTATAATCTGTTGATATTGTGCTATATGATAGGATACATCAATAACATTTCGACGGATCTAAATAGTTTCATATAAATAAGTTTTCAAGATTTATAAAATATGAACTAACTTTTGTTTTTATATATTTAGCTCGATCAGCATAATTAAGTGTATTTCGTGATTCTTCAAAATGTATTGATGCAGGTGAAACATGTGCAATCATAACTGTACGAGAATTTCCACCAAGAGAATCTTTTAATATACGTGTTAATTTACTATCACGATAATTAACATATTTTGTATTTCCTTTTTCACTTAATGCATTGATACAATTACCCAAAGCAAGCAATGATCGATTGATATGAGCACCTTAAAGATAACCAAAAAAGAGAGAGATTTAGAATTTTAATTATATTAATTTGTTATCATTAAATAAATAGATTCCTTGGGCTTTTTTTTAATTAAAAAATAAATTTTTTTTAGGTTTCTTTTGCTAGTTATTTACTTGAAATAATTAAGATTTATTAGGCTTCAAAATAATATCATACCTTCCATCATTCGTCTACCAGTATTTTGAGTATGTGCGGCTCGTTCTGATCCAGCTAAATCAATCATATATAATTTTGCTAAAACCAAAAAAACCAAAATAAGAAAAAACAAACAAATAAGAAATATTATTTTACCAAATCGAACTTGTTCAGTATGTGATCGAGTAACATCACGTTGTTTAATATTAACTTGTAAAACAGCATGTGATCTTGATGATGTTTTATTCGCTTTTGTTGGTTCTTGTGTTCGTGCACGATTTCCTTTATGTAACATTTCCATGACTTCTCGAGGTGTTTTAGCAATAATTTCACTAAGACCAGCAACTTGTATTGTACCTTTCGCATCTTCACGTAATTCAAGAAATGTTGATGATGGTGCAAGTAAATCACGTATTAATTCATTATAAATTTCTAAATAGGACATTGATACTTGATATTCTCGTTGACCTTGAAAATTTTTTATTTCAACAAATAAATCATCTAATGTACGATACATAACACCAGGATTATTTTCTGTACCTAACATTGTATAAGTTTTTCCAGCTCCTAAAATAATTTTCTTATTGAGAATTTCGTTCAAATCTTTTTTTTATTATTACCTGTTGCTCCATAAGCGAATACAGTTGCATTATAACCTTCTAAAACACTACTTAATAGAATTTTAGCTGATGATGCGTATACATCTTGTTGTTGAGCACGAGCATCCGATACAACATCGAACATATATTTACGTTCACGTGATCGATTAGCACGAAGAATATCATCATGATCTTCTTCAGGATCAAGTAAAACGACCATCTAAAAAATATGAATTATTATTTTTTTTTATTAATAAATAAATCCATACATTATCTTCAGCTACTTTATGAGCAATGATAGTAGCACCTTGAAGAATTTCTTCTTCTGTCATTGGTCGAATACGGCAAGCAACCTTGAGTAAAACAAATAATGAATTGATTGATACAAAAACAAAATATTTAAAATACTTACAACAATTTGTTGTTCACCTGTTGGTAATAAGGGTAAAGGTGTTGTTCCAGAGATAAGATTGTCTTTTAATACGTTAGCCATTATCTAATATATAATACCGTTCACTGTCCCGTATCTAATATCATGTGTTGAAAAATTTCTTTCTTTTTTTTTCTATTCTAAAAAACAAAAGAAGAAGAAGAAGAATATAAATTTCTTACGTTTTTTTTCTTTCCTCAAAGCTTATCTATGAGTGTTTGTCGACATGCATCAAGTTTCTACGTCAAGTGATAGTCTATATTTATATATATATATAACTGCAATACATATGAACGTTATATCATTCATCATAAAAATGATCATGCTTGTCATGAACTTGAAGCCTTTTCTCACTTACTCTGTTACACACATACATATATACCGACTTATTATTCTTACTTTGTCTTCGATTCTGAGGAAGCATATAGGAACACAGAAAAAAAGCAGAATGAAAAAAAGAAACGTAGGAAGACAAAAGTTTTTATTCAGTCCAACTGAATATCTACGCGGAAAAGCAATCAAATTAAAAAAAAAGAAGAAAAAAAAAAGAATGAAAGGAAAAGAAAAAAGAATTTGCTATAACTATACGTCGCTAGCTTCTTCTTTTTTCTTTTGAATATTAGAATTATACTGCCATTGCGGTGTTGAGATGTGAAAGGAAAAAAAAAGAGAATTTTATAGTATGTTTATTGTCACCTTTCATACCGTCGTTCGTTGATGTCGATAATATTTGTAAGAGCACTAGCAAAAAAAAAGGACTGAGAATGAAGAAGAGAACAATGTTCTGATTATAGCAACAACAGTGATTTTGATTCTATTTTTTAATTCGAAATAAATAGAACAAGTTTGTTATGTATTTTAATGATACATGTCATTCGATTTTTTTTTCATTATCGATAAATAAAAATCATACTCGAAAAAAACAAAGAAATGTTAACTTTACACATACAATCAACGTACAAATTCACATATATCTTGATGATGTTTGTTTTTTAGTAATGTCCTTTTAATTTATTGGGACATTATTAAAAGCATATTTTTTTAAAAAAAGAGTTTAAATCATCATTCATTCACAGTTGTATATCTTATAGAAAACTTACGAGGAAAAAAAACCTCAATTTATATATATATTTGTGATTATGAATGTATTATATACCTATACGAAGAAGAAAGAAACCCTAACAAGAATTCTCTTTTGTCAATACATCTTTGATGATCGAACGTTCGTGAATATACACTTAATTAAAAGTAACTTCGGACGCTAAGGACAAATGAATACACGGTGAGGAAAAACACGACATTATAAGAAGATTTTCTAGGAAAAAAAGCAATAATTGAATTCCTCTCTTCTTCTTCTTTTCTTTTTGTATTTTAATAAAATCAATGAGAAAAAAAAATAAAATTTTACTATTGGAAAATTAAAATGACACATATATTTTTGTTGACTTTTAATCGGACAAACGCAATTTAACTTTTTGAAATATTCCATATTCAATCATATCTTGTAGATTTGATTAAATATGAAATGAAATGACATTTTTCATACATGTAAAAGGTCGTTGAAGCTTATAATCGAATAATTTCTAAAAATCAGACTATGAAAGTCTTAAAAACTAAGCTTTTTTCTTTCTAGTTCAGCAAACTGAGTTTCCGCACTGATTGACATCAAGAGGAAAGAGTTCTCTAAATATTTACTCATATCGAATAACACTATAATAGATCTTTGCAAAGAGTGAAAGTCAGACTCTGTTAAGCATATAACCAGACGGGAGCTAGGGAGGCTCAGCTCCCTCACTTCCTAGCGGGATCTGAGTCATTTCCTTCCTCTCGATTCATAACTAATCAATATGTACCATTCTTATTCATTATATAACAATTAATGATTGTTTTTGTTTTGAATACTGTAGATTATTCGAGAATTTTTCAAATTCTACTGATCGATACATTTCTTATAAATGAAAGAACGAGAAAAACAATGTTATTTATTGATTAACTTAATTTGAAGCTATAAATAGTAACATTTGTCCTATTCTGTCTGCAGTAGAAATGATTTGTTTTTGTTTTAATAACCTTTTGACAATTTTAACATATATGTCATTACAAATAAATATGAGATCGTTTTTTTTTCTCGAACAAAAATGATCATGAAAAAGAATTTACTCTTTTAATTAATTTTATTTTCTATGCATAAGAACAAACAAAACAGAAAAATAACATATAAACAATTCCTATCTAATCTATAACAAATCATACAAGAACAAGATGTTTGTTCGAAACTTAAAGATTTGATCGATATTCAACTTTGCCAAGTATTGTTGTATAGGCTGTTGGACGTGGTGGAATAGGTGGAGCTTGTTTTGTTATATCTTTTATTGGGCTAGATGATAATCGTTTTTGTGAATTTTTTTTAGTTTCAATAAAATCATCGACAGTAAGTGGTAATGAATGTTGTCGACGTACACGATATTTTCGATTACATGCATACCAAATACTAATACCAATAAGAAATATTACAAAAATTAAACTCAATACAGATAAAATAACTAAATTTAAATTGAATTCCCATAAAAAACCTTGCTTTTTTAATGATGATGGCAAAGTTGAAATCATTAATGATCCATTTGTAACACTTAAACAAAACAAAAAACATAATCAGCTTCAATATTTCTATTTGTACATACTTTGTATCGATACTATTTATCTCAGTTGGCATCATAATTGTAGTTAAATTTTGTTCTTCGTTAGCTACTTGTCGAATAACACGTAACATATGTCTTTGAAATAGAATGACTAAGTATAAAATTTTGAACCAAATGAAACATTTAACGAACTATCGATACTTTCTTTCTTTCTTTCTATTGAACACGTGGTCAATAAACGGTTAGATTATTCAATTTTAAAATATCTTCTTATTCATGTCTATCCCAATAGACATTCGAATATTCTATATATTTATATTTTTTACATACAAAGAAACAAGAATATCACAAAAAATAATAAAAATACATCTAACGCAATACGAAAAGAAAACCACTTTGGTTTTTGCTAGAATAATTAATAACAAAAGATTTGCTTGTTTATTGCTTGATTACATTCATAAATATGGTTCAATGGCTAATTTAACTAACAATATTCTGTTGAATTTTATAATAAAAAGCTCTTGCTGAATTAAAACGATTGTTATAACATTTTTCTAATTCAATATATAATGCATCGCGAGCATCATTATCATTAAGTCCAACCATTAATGTGTCATATAATTGTTTGAATTTTTCTTCTCCTAATGGTTTAAAACGATTTTTATGTAAACGTATTGCATTAAAACAAGCCCATATATGTTCTTTGATTGTTTGCCATAATTGTGTTATAATTTCATTATCACTTTCATGACCAATCATTGCTAAAATGAATTTTAATATTTGATTTTTTTAGGAGTATTAAAATTCTTACCAATAAAAACATCTTCACTAAATGGTGAATGTGGAATATCCATAAATATACCTAATAATCGTTCAAGTTTTGTCTGTTGACCAAATGCACAACCAAAATCAATATGTAATATTTTACCATCTTCAGTTATCATGATATTATCGTCTAGAAATACAAAATATTCTCAGAAGAAAAGTGGGTCTATGGAAATATTTTACCATGTCTATCAGATAATTGTAAAACAATTCCTGAAACAACAAAACCAAGAAATGTTCGAAATAAATTTCCTTTTCGTTCGGGTGATTTTTCAATAAATGTTTTTAATGCATCTGATGATGATATTGCATCTTTATTATCAGAAGCTGTTTTTTTAAATTCAATAAATGGATGTGCGTTTTCAACACATTCAATTAGACCTTCACTTTTATCAACTGGAAGAACCTGAAAAATTCAATAGATAAATCAAAATTTTCTTCATTCATTTAACTTACTTCATAGAGAACAACTTCAGCATCAACATTTTCTTCTTTAAATATAGCATTCATTTCTTTCATAACAGCTACACACATTGCATCTTGTAATAATTCATCACCATGTTTATAAATACAACTAAAATTTATTTCGAAAAATTTTCAAAGAACAAAACAAATTAATAAATTCTTACACTTTGGTATTTCCTTCACGATCAAGAACAGTAAATTTTAATGGTTTACCTTTTGATGGTATAATCGATCCATCACGTAATTCAGTAACAATAAATTGTGGTGATGTTGGTAATAAAAATGGTACAGGTATTTCTGATAAATCAAGTGATTTACTATCAGCAGCTTTTGCCATTATTGAAATTTTTTCAATAGCATCACGTGCAATACATACAGGTGCATTATTATCTAATACATATTGACATACTCTGTTATGTTTATGATAATGACATGACCAATATAGACGACTGCAATCAGCGTCTGACAATGCACCTATTGCACGAATTAATGCGCGATCTTTGTGTTCAAATATACCCCAAAGAAAGAATGGATCATGTACATTAACTATATTTGTTGATTCATCATCGTCATCTTCATTTTCATCGGTGTTGTGGATTGGAACATTTATTCCGAGATCAGGCATATTTGACATATAGATCTTAGAAAGAGATAATTATAAAATATGTAAGATTTTTAAAAGAAACTTATTTAATCATATATTTTCAATGTACTGAAAGTAATTTATTAGCAATATATAATATCGCGGCTTTTTTCTTTGCTAAAATATTAATTATAAGTGGACGAAAAACAAAATATCACACGGTATAAAATATATTTCTCGATTAAGCAAGTGTAAATAGAATAAAAAAGCAAAATTATTAACATGTGCGCTGTCGTTTAAGTCCTGGCGTTGGTACGCCCAAAATATCTTGTCGACATAATGGGCATTTAGCCAGCTGTTCCTCTTGTTTATCAACACAATCATTACATAAACATTTATGATTACACGGAAGTAAAATAACTGAACTGATATTTGTTAAACAAATACAACATACATCACCACCAGTAGTAGTAGTAATTGTCTTATCACCGGTAATAATTTGAGTTAGTTTCTCACGTAATTCTTCAGTTTTTAAATTTCCTTTGATACTATGATGTTTGGCTAAAGTTTGTAGATCTCGACGAGGTAATTCTTCAAGTGAAGGAAGTGTTTTCAATACTGCCATAGTTGGATTAGTAGCTATAGTAACAGTTTTAGGTGCAACGATTGGTACTGCAAGAAGATTATCATTCAATGGTATATCATCTTGTTGTGCAATATCTAATAAATGTTTATATTCTTCTTCATTTAATGATTTATCATTAATAGCCGTCATTTCATTATTAAAATATTCGACTAAACGTGGAAATTGTCGACGCATTGTTTGATATTCATCAATAATATCCGGTGTACTTGATGCTTGACGTAATTTTAAATAACGTTTCATAAATGTTGTATAACGTACAAGTAAAATAGCTTTACGTATACCGAGATGAGTAAACGAATTCATGTCATTTGAAAATTCGAATTCTTGTTCATTTATTTGTCGTATACCTGAAACTGTATCCCATGATGTATTTATTTGAAATTTCGAGTCATTTTCAGTTTTTTTTAAATCAATTATTTTAAATAAAAGACAACCACCACGTACTTCATTTTTATCATTCATTGGTGATGGAAATTCTGTTATTAATTTAATTATTTGACGTGTATTTATTTGATCTTGTAATTGATGTACTTCAGGTGAACCATATCCTTGTTCAATTGTATATTTATCTCCAAGTAATTTTAATTCAATATTAAATCCAATTGGTGTAACAGTATAATGAAATTCAGTATTCATTAATTCATCAAATGTTCGAGCATTTCGAACATTACAATAATTACAACCAATTGTACGTGAAACAGATTGAATAACTTCAGCACCTAAATCAAGACCAACACCGACAACAGTTGACCATATTGTTTGATTTTGTGCATTAGTTTGAATATGTTGTAAAAATTTTTGTCCATCTGTTGTTGATACTTCCATATCGGTTAGAAAAAAAATACGACGACTAATCATATTATTATCATCTTTTATACCTTTTGTATCTATAACTGTGCTATATAAGTCACTTGCAACTTCGATAGCTCGACTAATATTAGTACCACCGCTAGCGCGTAATTTAAGAATCTTGCCTTCTAATTCTTTTTTATCAATTGAAGATATTTTTTCAATTGGTTGTAGAACTGTTGCAGCATGATTAAATAGTACAATACCAAGTGCATCATCAGGTGTAAGTTGTTTAAGAAGTGTTAGTAATGATTGTTGAGCAACTTGTAATTTTGTTTTACCTGGTTCACCTTCGAATTTATCGGACATTGAACCAGATATATCAAGTGTTATAACAAGATGAAGTCGAGTATGATATGTACGAATACCAGGACCATCGAGACAACTATTAAAATTAACACTTAACCAATGTTCAATATTTTTATTTTCATTTTCTAATGGATTAATTGTTGTTGCTATTCCGAATGATGGTAAAAATAAATCCGTTGTTGTTGGTTGTGCAGTAAAATGATGCGCGTAAAACGAACTTTCATAACTAACATCATATGTTACTTCAACTGGAGCTGCTGCTTCGAGTTCAGCTTCAGTAATTTCTGCTTTACCTTGTTGTTTTGCTTCGGCTTGTTTTCTTGCAGCATATGTATGAAATACAGCAGATTTACGAGGTGCTTTACCGCCTGTTGATTTGCGAGCTGTTTGCTTTGTGCGAGCCATCGAGAATGAAATAAAATGTAAATGATATAAAGAACAAGTAAAACATAATCTATATATCTCGCTGTAATGAGAATATGTAATTGCAACATATTTGGTCAATTTGTTGAACGAGAAAGAAATAAAGAAAATAATATTTTACTACGAACCGCCTTATGAAAATGAATATATCTTAAATTGGACGGTTGTAGAGGTAACATATTGACAATAAACAGACAGAAATGAAATGTTGTGCAACAGGAAGAAATGAGTCATTCACTGCGAACCAATCCCATTTCATTATCGAGTACTTGTCAGAAAACCATTTCGATTTACGAAAGATTCCACTGGTAGTCAATATATAGGCACATAAATTACAAATAATATAAAACTATAATTAAAAGCTCAATCTAATAAATCTGTCAAACAATTATTGATAGAAGAAAATAAATGTTAAATAGGTAATGTAAAAAGAAGGTCTATCATAATACGATCTTTTTAACAGGAACTATGTTCATGATCAATTATTAGTATTTTAAATGAAATACAAATTAATTTACTCGTTAATATTGTTTCAGTAAACCAAGATAACAAATGTAAATATGTTATATATTGCAGATTTATTTCTAAGCAAGTAGAAGACATGGTAATTAGATGATTAAGTTTATTATGTATATTTAACAAAAAACAAACAATCAACTATAAAGATTTTGTTTGAATATAATGAAAATCTATCACGACAAGAAACTGATAATCTCGAATTATAAAACGAAAATAATATAGTTTTACTACACTCATCTCTTCCTTAACTAACTAGCATAAATGCCAATCACACACACGCACATCCATCACCTTAGAGATAATTACTTATATAGTACAAACTCATCTCTTCATTATTAACATACAGCCACAAAAAAATAACAACATAATCATCTATCTCTCTATGAATGGCATACAGCCGAATTTTAATGATCTTATAAAATGTAAAAAGACATACTGTTCTACAACATACATATATATATATACAACAGATTGTATTCATTGTAACATACTTGAAAGAAGAAAACACAAACTGATTCTATTTAAAATTCTTTTACTCACTAACTATCTCTTTTAAAACTTCATATATTGAAGAATACATACAATAATAATAATATGATAATTAAACTCTTATTTTATGGTTCATGGAAAATAAAATTCTATCCAAGCACGTAACTGACATTTTCTTCGTTTGTATATAAATTTATTTACACCATATCTTCATCACTCTGTCCAATACGTGTTCGTTCTGCTGATGGCGATGAGTTATAATGATAATTCTGTCGATCAGTATTATTATTAAAATATCCATTAGTTGATGTTTTAGTCTCATCTACACTTGTTACACCACCTCCACCTAGTAAAAATTCATCATCTGGTGTTAATTGTTCAAATTCATTCGCATAAAGTTCTTCAGGAGTTGGTCGACGACATCCTAATAAATAACCAATAAGTCCAATAACAGATATTGTTAAAAATAATAATGCAAAAGCAACAAGTACTATCGACCAAAATGGAAAAAATCCTATAAAAAAAGATAATAAAACAAGAATGAGTTATTTTCTTCTTTCACAGTACCGCGAAGTAAATAATCGGGATTAACACGACCGAACATATCTGTTCGTCGACTTCCAGACATTTCATAATGTGTTCTCGCACCATAACCCAAATCATGTTGTTCTCGTAATTGATCTGGTGTTAAAAATTGACCATTACAAACAACAATAATAACTATCAAAAATCCTAGATAAAAAAACAGATCTTTTTTATAGCAGAAATATCGAATATATTTAAACGTCAAACCTGTTATAGCCTTGACAATAGTCATATTTTGCTAAGAGACCATCAACGAATATATGTATGTATACGAATGACGAGAAGTAAAAAGAAAATGAGGAAAGGGTCACCAAATTGTAGTCGAGAATACGAGCACCAGCGAGAGGAAGGTAAAAATGAGAGTGAAGGAATGAATATTATGAGCTCAAATAAAAAAGAAAAAAAAACCGTCCAAAAAAAGAAAAAAGAAGAATGTGTCGTATGTCGACGAAGAGAAGAAAAAACAGAACTGTCGTTTCTTTTTCTAACATACATCTGCTTGTTCTCTATATTTATGATTCAATCTGTCCTTCATCATAAGAAGGAAACGTACAGTATAATTTGACCAATAAATGTTATGTTTGAATAAAAGATGTACTAGATAGAGAAGCTTTGTACAATTTACATAACCAATCTAATAGATTTTTAATATTTTGAAATGTCGCAGTTACAAACATAAAAATAATAAATTCATTTTAATAGTTCAAAATTTTTCATTTGCTTATTTTAAGCAATACAGATTATTTTTAATCTTTGATTACCAATAAAAATAACTAATCAACTAGTTCATTACTAATTGTGGCTCCTGTTTTTTTACACACACTCACACTTGAATATTCATAGTATTGAATCGAATCGTTTTCATACATGTACACAAAAAAAAGAAAAATAATAATAAAATACAATACACACGCACTCTAATACATCTGCTTAATCATACGCATAGCTGCGTAAAACCATAATAATGATAATAATAGTATTAATAGTGAAAAAAAATGAATAGAAACAACAAATATGCAGTTTTGAAAAAAAAAGATGAAGACGAAACGTGTTATTCTTTTTTTTGCTAATAATGGCAAACACGCACATATAAATAGTTTTGAGAAAAAAGAAAAAAAAATGACCGGAAGAAAAGAAAAACTTTTTGTTTTTGTACATGAAAAGGAAACAAAACAAAAAAGAGGAGATATTTTTGTTTTTCAAAAGATCATATCTATATATATGATTTATTTGTTGTTCAATCATCTTGATTAATAGGAAAAAAAAAAGAATAATCATGCATTCCAATTATTATCATCAAATAAATTATTAACTATTTGATTCGATTGTGAATGTACTAATCGTCGATTTGTACTTGCTGTTGATGTTATCGCTGAAGTTGTATCGAGATCATATAAAAAATTCATATCACTATTTGGATCATAGGTTGTATCAACTGTTGGATTTGATGGTAAGGACGTTGTTGTTGTTGTAGATTTTGATTTCGTTAATTTGAATCTTTCGTTAGAAATAGGCGGAAAATAATTTAAAACTTGTTCATGTTGATACTGATTAATATTAGTTGATATTCGATTATTATCGCCTATAGTTGTATTATGATGATTTAAATTCGGATCTGTATTAATATTTGGATGAAGTAGACGAATATGAGATAAATTTGCTGTTAGATAATCATCATTTTCATTAAGTGAAACGTCATTAAGTTCATCATCGATTGTTCGAGATCCCATTAGAACTGAATTAGAGACGGGTGTAGCTGATGATAAATGATCATATTGTTGAGTATCCTGAGATGTATTGTCTTCCATATCGGTATCAATTGAAGAAGCATTCGAATCAAGATCATTTTCTTTTGAAACTAAAAAATTAGATATACATATATATTTTTCAAAGGGAAATGTTTTGAAGCATTATGTCATAGTTGGAAACTGTAAAATAGCAACAACAATAATAATAACAACATCCTATCTCATTTATTAACATAACGAAGCATGCAAAAAAAAGACACAATGGTTATAGCGTGTAATATATATATATATATATGCAACTACAGACTGTATTGATATGAATTAGATTGTGAAGAAATATCTTACTTGAATCACTCGGAGATGATGATGTAGTAGTATTGAAATTTGAATGTGTTGTATTGGTTGTTGTAGATATCACCGCCTCCTGAGAATCGTTCCGATATCTATCTGAACTCAAGAAACTACAAATGTTGTAGGCAATCTCGTTTTTTCTTAGAAATAGAAATATTCCTCTCCTCTGTTCTATTCTTTACTAGATCGTATTCTTTTTTGTGTTTTCATTGATATAAACTTACTTAAAAGCATTTCATTAATAAGATCATCAACTTGTTTTGTATCTTGATTATAACGTGCAACAAGATCAACCATTAATCGTGCTATATTTTGTAAGGGTGGTAATAATAATAATAATTCACCAAACCGACCACGCATCAATGGTCTTTGTTGATTAATATATGTTTCAAGATTAACTTGTATACGTCGACGTAATTCTTTAACACGCATTGGATCTGATAAAGATTTATTATCTAAGAACAAAAAAATATTATATAATTTTGTCAATAAATACACAAACCATTATCGAAAAAAACAATCGCTTTTAAACAAGCATATTCTTTTTCATCTAATCGATTTTCTTTTAATGGTTTGACAATTTCATCAAGTATTCGTCCAGATGCACGACATAAACCTGGATCAGAGGCATTTCTTGGTATAACATAATGATTGCCCAATAGTAAATAATCATCACAGTTTAATGAACGACATGCAACACCCAAAATGAGATTTTCTCCTGTATGACCACGTAAAAGTGCAATCTAAAAATATTTAAATTAATCGATTTTTTAGATGTTATTAGTTTTAGTCTTACTTTATCATTATCAGATAATTCAACAAAACCTTTTAAACCTTTTGCCCATTCAATAAGACTACGAAGTTGATAATTCATGGATATACCAATTGTTTCTAATGTCGCTTGAACACGTTCATTATCGGAAGGTTGCTTATCTAATTGAATTTGTCGGCCAATATACTAAATCAAGATTTATAATATATATATATTAAATTATTTTATTAATCATACTTCTTGAGCTGTTTTTTCTGCTTTTAAAAGTGCCGTAACACTTAAATCATCATCATCATCTTCATCCTCATCAAGATCACCAGTAAGATGTGACTTTGTTTTTACATTTGCCATTCCATAATTATAATTATGACCACGTGGTCTTCCAAGACGATCTCTTTCTTTTTGTACGGCTAAAAGTAATTCAAAATGAAAATTAATAATATAAAATAGAATTTATTTACCATCTTTTTTCATACCCATTCGAATACATTTTCTATAAATGAATAAATAAAATAGATCCAACTAAAACTCTAATTAAAAACAAACATACTTCCATCGACAATGTCGACATTGATTACGTTTATCTTTATCAATTGTACAATTATTTTGATGTCGACATTCATATACAGGATTTTTTCGAACACTTCGTCGAAAAAATCCTTTACACCCATCACATGAAATAGCTCCGTAATGTTTTCCTGAAACAACAACAACAACAAAAAATCGATTCAATCTTATCAAAAAAAAAGTAATTATTTCTTATTTACCTGTTGCTCGGTCACCACAAACCACACAATCTAAAGTTTCTGTATTATTTACAAATGTATTATTCGTCATTGAATTAATACCTAAAGCTATCGTTGTTGATGCATCATCAATACCATTATGAAGACCAGAATTTTGGTCATCAATTTCACATTTGATGATAGTTACAGGTTCACTTATGTCTCCGTTTCCAACAGTACGTCGCACTAAATAAAATAAATAATTAATAGAAGAAGAAAAAGAATTCAGAATTATCATTTAATGTCGTCTAAAACTGAATTATGTGCAAGGTGCGTGACACGTACTGCTAGGGATCCTTTCTTATTCTGATTGAATGAGTATATTAAAATAGTCAATATATATGAGAATGTGTAAAATGAAAATAAGAGAGAAGAAAGCAAAAAAGAAAAAGATAAGAACGATGAAAATATTAGATTAGTTTGTTTTTTTTCTCACGCGTCAGGTGCGTGATAGATTGAACAAATAAAATTTTTATTTAACACAACAACAAAAATACATTAGTTATCATCATATTCTCATTTCTTCTTCCTTCTCCATACAAATTTGTCTTACTCATCATCATATAGAGAGAAAAAAACTACAAATATATTTTTCTTCTTTTCTTCATCTAACCTACTGACGTCAATGTCTGAAACAATTCACAAAAATAATTGCCTTCGTCTGCATGTTTTAACATTACAACATCAAGCTACTCTTCGCTTTTACAAACCAAACAAATATATTTATATATTATCTTTCATCGATCTATTTACAATGCAAGACTAAATGTCGAATAAAGAAAGCTATCGTAAAGAGTTTATCAAATGAAAGAATGTGAAAAAAAAGAAAAACATTAGATACACTTATTCATTTTCTCACCTGAAGATGCCATTGATATTTTAAAATTAAATCATAATTAATAATCTAAATCAAATATAAATATTTTGATAAAACAAAAAAATATTTCTAATAGTAGAAGTTACATATTTTAAATATATCTCTATTGCTATAAAACAACTTATAATTACAGAAAAGAAAATTATATGTTTGACATATCATCAAGACAGGTCAATGTACTTAATGAAGGGAAACGTTTCTATAATATATGAGTATTTCAATGAGATGAAAGCTTATGAAGTGTCTGTTCTTTTTTTTCATAGAATAGCATTGTATGAAACAGGAGGATGTGACCCACTTTCTTTTAGCTAAGAATTTTTTTTTAATCTTAACGCAAGAAAAACTTCTTGGAAATGTTATTGATAACTGATTGATTCTCGAATTTCTAATGGTATTTTTTTTCTTTTATCTCAGCTTGTATTCTTATGAGTCATTAAATCTTATCTTGACACAATACTACAAAAAAAACAGATTTATATTATTTAGTCGAGCGTTTGTAATATTTATAAGGTTGCTTTGTTCGTTCCTTATAATATTTTGCAGATATGGGAAGAAATATTTTAATATTTTACAACTCATAATCACCTCATTTATGCAATCACATGTCAAAACAAACTATGTTTTGGAATAAATACATAACATTTCAAGATAAAATAAATGCTAAACTTTTCTATTAAAGTTTACAAAATCTATTTTAAATAATCCCTAATAACTACCTTCGTATCATTAGAGAGAAACTTAAGATTATGATCTATCATATGGGGAATAAAAATAATCCTATGAAACTACTTAACAGAAAAAATTGTAATAATACATGATCAAAATAAACACTTATAAAGGATGAATATTTGAGGGTTTGATAAAATTATTATGATCATATCGCGAAGATTTCATGGAAATCAAAAACAGACTTGTCAAGATTGATATTGATACATCTGCACAACTACAAAAGAAGATTTCATCTGTCTGTTAAGTACATTAATTAATTGAAAAAAGAGTTGAAATAATAATACTGAAACTTTTTTTCTATTATTAAACTAAAGTTAAAAAATATATATTTAAAACTCACATATTTCTCCTTTGAGCATCATCTTTAATTACAATAGTTGATCTGCTTAATGACTAAAAATAGTTTGTTAATCATTGCTCTAATACAAACCTTTCATATAAAAGTATTTTATCAAAAAATTCCGAAATTAAACTATCATATAACCTAATTCTAAATTTTTAAGCTAAACTAAATGGTTATAAATTAGCTGTTAGAATGCTTTAATTATTAATGGGAATTCTTCGATATACTCATATGACCTCGTTTATTTTTCCTCATCTTACAATTTCATCAGTAGATGATAAATAGTCAAGGCAAATAATTTTTTTAATAATAAAACTAAGTCAAAAATTAATCTCAATATGTCTAACTCAATAATTTTATTAATTCAAATAGTGAAAAAACAAATCATCTGTTTATAACTGATTATCATTTTTCAATTAATATATTGTTTATTTCTATTAGTGACATCTATCAACAAATGAATAATAATGAAAAAAAACATAAAAATTTATTTGAAATTTTCTTAAAAATATTTTTCAGATTTTCTTTTCTTTATTTACTTTATTTTATTGACTCCATTATAAACTATTTATTGCCTTTGCATTGACGTGCCTTTGTTTACCGATGATCCATTAATACTAACATCGAAATCTATTTTCTCCTCAACAATCTTCCGGTTTAAATAAAAAGAAAAATTTTTTCTAATATCAGAAACTCTTACTTCTGATATTAATTTAAAAAATGACAACAAATTGTCCATCATTTGTTCGACATCAATCACTTGAAGCAACTCAAGTTATACCATTATTTGATTCAACAACAACAACATTCACTTCAACACCACCATTTAAACCAAAAGCTGGCGAAGTTTATGTTATGAAACTTGATATTGGTCATGAAAGTAAGTTTTCAAAAATTCCGATGAATACCTTTGTTCATCCGCTCGCTTCAAAAATTCTTATGAATAAAAGCTGGAATCATTTTGGAAACAAAACAAAGGTATATCACGGATAGTTGATTTAGATTTTGTTTATTATAGATGATTGGCGTAGTGATGGTTATCGTTGGGTACAAATAGCTGCACGACGTTTACCAACACATAATCCAGTTATAAAAAAATGTTATTTTCATGCTGGACAAAAAAATAAAAAAAAAAGTAAAGATTTTGAAAAACAAGCATTTGTGTCACTTGTTGATCCATCCAAAGTTGTTGTACAATATCTTGGCGATGAAAATGTTGCTGAAGAATTTCCACATGGTAATTCAAAAAAAAATACTAAACCATTTTTTCGTACACGTCCATCATTACTCAATAAACTTATATCAGAAGCAGCAACTAATGCTGAAACAGCACAAATATTTAAACAATATACAGCAAATAATTCCAATGAACATGATGATGATGTTGACGATGATGATGATGATGAAGAATCAACAGTAAATAATTCTATGGAAGCAGAAGAAACAGTCGATGATAATGATCAAAAAAAATCTTCAACTATTAAAAATGAACCAAAAAAACCTAAAGTTGGACCTGAAGTTTTATCCCAACCACGTAATATTGAACAAATACGAAATGTTAAAAGACGTTTAGCTCGTCGTCTTGTTGCATCAGCCGATGAAATATCAGAATTATATCGTTTTGCACGTGAAACACCAAATTATATTGTTCGTTTTACATTAATACCAAATATTGTTGCAATTGCTTTTTCAAATGAATCAATGCATGAATTTAATTTATTATTAGATCATCCAGATCTTTTGTCACAACAACAAGTTCTCATTACATTTGATTCAGCATATACAATTAATGCATTCCATGTTACATGTGTTTTCTATCGACATATTGGTATGAAAGAAGAACCATGTATTTTACTTGGTAAGTGTTTTATAGAATTATCTTTAAGAATCTTATTCTTATCTTCTAGGTTGTGCATTACATAATCGTCGTTCTGATGATGTTTATGAATATATTTTAACACATTTAAAACAACAATGTCCAAATATTGAATCACGTTGTTTATTTATTATTGACAGTGAAGGTAATACATTAAAAAATAATTATTTATCGATATTCCTACCACATTTACGTATACTACATACATGGAATTATGTTTTTTCACAATTACGTGCTTGGTTATTACAAAATGGTCGTACACAAGCTGATTATCAATTTTATAATGCTGAACTTAAATCTTTATTATTATGTGCTGATATGTTAACATTTACACGTTTGTATGATCGATGTAAATCAAATTGGACACAAGAATTTCGAACATATTTTGAACAAATTATTTTACCATTAGTTGATACGGATCTTGGTTCATGGGTATTAAAAAAATATGATCTATTTGATGCTTATTCCGGTATAAAAGGACTTGTTTGTGAACCAATGCAAGCTGTGGTATATATTTTAAATTAATTGATTTTGTCATTTTTTAAAGAATTTTTTATTTAGGCAGCTCAGTTACGTGATTGGCGTGAATCTCGTTTTGATAGTGGTGCTATGGCATTTTATTGGCTTCAAATGTATTTTGTTCAACAGATAAGAAAATCCTATTCTCGTCTTGGTGGTATTTATTCATTAAAACAAGGTATCTATGAAAAATGGGCAATAACAGCTGTAACATCAAGTGCTGCACATGAACCAATAAAAGCTTTAGTACCAGAAAAAATTATTGAACATGTTCGAGCAAAAGTTATTATATCATCTGTACATCATCCACATTTACAAGCTAAACGTAGTGGTGAACAACAAATTCTAACATTATCACCTGTTAAAAGACTTAAAACAACAACATATGATGGTACACAACATCATCATCATCAACCATGTATAATTGCAACCACAACAACAACACCACATCAAGTAACTACAGCTGACTTAAAAGCAACATTACTTGCAGCTGCAGCAGCAGCACAACAACAACCAAGAACTATGACAGTAAATTTTCGAAAAACGAAAAAGTAATTTTCTTATAATTCTCTAATAATTTTAGATACGTCGAATTGCTGCAACAACTAGTCCACAACATCAACAACAACAACAAACAACATTTCGTCTTACAACAGCTCCAAATAATTCATCTTCACAACAACCACAACAGTTTATAATTACAACAGCTGGTACCGCTCTACCTCTTACTCAAACGACGACAACAACTACAGGATTAGTTGATGATTCATCAATGTATGATGATGGTACAAATGATTTAAGTGGATGTTTAGTAACGACTTCATCTCAAACACCAAATTCAACAACAACACAAACACGTTCATCATTTGTTCGTCCTTCTCTACCGACTAATGTTCTTCGATTGACAGTTGTACGCAAATAAGAAAAAAATTACTGTTCGATGTTTTTTTCTCTTTCGTTTTTTTTCTTCTTTTCATTGATCATTGCATGTCTGTATCTTGATGTACAGGTTTATAACATATTCTTCTGTACATAGGATCAGCTTTACTGTTATTGTTTTTTTTTTATATATAAATAAGATGAACAAGAAATTTCATTATATTAATATTGAAATAGAAAGTTGTGTCTTAATATTACAACTGAATTATTTACAATCAATTGATAATTCTTATGTACATATAATGTAATTTTTGTTGTATCAAGAAAATCTTCCTATAATATTTGTGAAATCAAGATGAATGATGAACAAAGACTTTTTTCTATACTAATATATATATATATTTGATTTGTC